TAAGCGGCTAAAATGTCCTACATGAATAAATGATTTTTAAAATGTTACTGTATATTATACATGCTACAATTTATTTTTAATAAATACAGCCTAAGTTTCTAGTAACTGTAGATCCTTTTGTATTTACGAGTATATACATACATATATATATAAATAATAATACATTTTAGTTCTTATATTATATTTTTTAAACTTTTTAATTTTAGGTTCTTAGTTGTACAATAAAGTATAATATATATATATATATATAAAAACTTGACGTTCTTAAGCGTCACAGGCTTCATTAAGTGTCAATGTTGAGGTGAACGCAACAACAAAATGTGGGTATGTCAAAAAAAAAAATATAAAATTGTCATCGACACAATTGTTTATTCTAGCATTGTAATTGACAGTCACGACGTAAGGCGCCATACATATTCTCAAGTGTACGTCGGGCCTTATGTTATTCACGTCTGTCGGATACGTGACGAGGGGTTTATCGCGGTAAAGGACATTTAATCATAATTTTACAAGATTCTAAACAATAATTAAGTAAGCGTTGTTTTATCTTACTAATCCTTAATTAATATTAGAGACGAGACCCTTGGTCCGTGGGGTCCTAGCGCTATAAGACTTTTCAAAGAAATAACGAAAAGGTTAGTCGACATCACAGAAGACCGAAGAGCTGGCAGCTACCTCGGACAAAGAATTAGTCTAGCTATTCAAAGAGGAAACGCTGCCAGTATCTTCGGAACGTTGCCTAAAGGGACCCCTTTTAATAATATATTTTAGTCATCATATTATATTTTTTAAGCTTTTTAATTTTAGGTTCTTAGTTGTACAATTAGGTTATGTAAATAATAAATTAATATAGTATTAATATTATAAATGTCAAAGTAGGGATGTTTGTCACGCTTTCACGTAAAAACTACTGATCATCATGAAATTTTATACACATGTTCTTGGAGGTATTGGAATGAACATAGGATACTTTTATTTAAAAAGAAACTAATATTTTTATTCAATGCGAGCGAATCCGCGGGTAAAAGCTAGTATTAGAAAAATTTGTGATTATGGACGGATGTTTGTTACTCTTTAACGCAAAAACTACTTAACGGATTTTGATGAAACTTTACAGTATTACAAGCTGTATTACTGTAAAGTTATACAAGTGTATACGTTAGAATAACACATACGTAGGCTATAGTTTAAGAATATATTAGGTAAATTGGATGAACTATAATAAGTGTGATGCAGGCGACGTTTCACGGGGTAGCTTATAATAAAATAGAATTAATTTGTGAGTACGGAAAAGCTACATAAAATTCACTACGCTAACTTACACACAAAGGATCGTAAGTTCGATTCTAAACCAAAGTGAATATCATTTAATCATATAAGGATACTTTCAAACACTAATCAAGATATTTTGTTTGTTACTATCCCTACCGCCCAATTTGACTAGCAACTCAATTGAGAACAAGAACTGACAAGAAACTCGACTGATAAATTTAGCTGACACAAAATCGTTCGAAACGCCTTGACCAATTTGAATAAAATTTTAGTGTATACTTAGTAGACCTAAGAAAGCTAAATTATACCCGCTAGGTGATAAGAGAGTCCTTATTAAAAAAAATAATTCCTTGAAATAATTAATATGGCAAAACAACATCTGCCAGAACAGTAGAATATTAAAAAAGTCAGACAGATAATAACAAACAGATATTCTCATGAATACAAATGCTTGTATTACCTCTAATAGTAATATTGCAAGTTCTTTTATTAAAACGTATTCAACACAAACGAACACAATAAAAGTAAAGTCAAGAATGTAATATCTTTTAATTAAATTTAATTCCCCTTTTAAAAGCGACCATTATAATAATACTTGAAAATAAATATCCTTTTGTATCAAGAGTTATTGTCCGCTTTCAAACGAGACACTTTCAATTTTATTCTGTGGTTATTTTAAATAACAATTATTAAGAAAATTATACTATACCCTTGAAATATTAATATTTTCTATAGTTATAAAATAGATTGACTTTTTTTATTAAGGACTTTCGGCTATTACTTGGTGCTAAAAAGACCTGTAATACTGCAACCTGCATAGACCTATTGTCCTCGCACTTTTAGAAATCGCTGCCTAGACCTATCAGGGACAAGAATTGACGAGTATTCTTAGAAGCGACGGTTTCTATCTCACGAGGATAGTGTATACTTTCCTAAAGAGATATTTAGTTTATGCATGAGTGGACTCATAGGATGTGTAGTGGCGATTTCTCTTACATTTGGCAAAATCTTCAAATCTTTGTTAAGCAAAGGTCTGGGTTTGCCACGTATTTATTTAATTTGCAGTGATCCAGTTAGGGTCCTAGTTATAGTATGTCCTAATCTATTAAAGCACACACATAGCGAAGTTCCACTTATAAAAAATCACCTGCACGGGGTACCTCAGTCGTACCAATTTCAGCCGCCAGCCTGCTTTGCAAGCTATACATGTTTTTTTGTTTCTTCCTCTTCTGTTCTGTATAATTTCTCATTGTATATGTATATTGATAGATTTCATTTTACAGAAGTGCTTAGATAAATAAAATTTAATTGTTTAATGTGTTTCTTCAGAGATAATGAGTAAGTTACGCTTATATACATAGTAATCTATTATATTATCATATATGTATAATAATTAATATATCCAAATATATATAGTTTTTTTTTTATTTTAATTATTATTATATACGTGAACAGCGATACGGAAAGAAGCCCTCGGACAAGATGGACCGACGATCTGATCGTCGCTGAAGACAGATCGCTGGAAAGCGTTGGTTGCGAGCACCGCTGGACCGATCGTTTTGGAAATTTTTGGGGAAGGTCTTTGTCCAGCAGTGGACGCCTTCCGGGCTGAAATGATGAACAGCGATACGGATATGAGGTTATCATTTGATGCGCATGACACTCATGCGTTATCTTTCCTAAAAATTTAGAACTGAAGCCTTTTATTCTGAAATTCCACTAGTTCATGATAAATAGAAGGCGCGACCAATGCACATTGAGGGTGACGCGACTCGAACCGAGTCAGAACGTGAGTTTCAAGGCGTTTATGGCCCAGGTTGCCACCAACATACTGCCCACCTTCATAAATGAGAAATACTGGCCAAAGGGGATGGTGTATCAGCACTACCGTAACAGATTGCCGTCGTCAGAGCCGCGACCACAGAGAATATTCAATATTAATATTATAATATAATATTATTACCAGCATACGGTCCATGTGATGGTAAATGGTTACCGTAGCCTATGGATGCCTGAAAAACCAAGGGTGTTACCTGCGCGTCGCTGACCCTTTAGAAACCTTAATATACCCTTCTTGAAAAACCACATATCTATACATGTGAATAATTGTCTGTTTGTAATATTGAAATAACCGTTTTTTACTATATACATATGAATATAAATACGGTACATACACCAAAACAACATTTTTTACAATTTCTGTCTGTCTGTCTGTTTGTTCCGGCTAATCTCTGAAATGGCTGGACCGATTTTGACAGGACTTTTTTTGGCAAGTAGCTGTTATATTAAGGAGTAACTTAGCTACTTTTATTTTAGAGAAATAAAATAAAATTCCACGCGTCCAATTAAAAATAAATTCCCGTCGCGGGAACACGGGTTTATAAAACTAGTAGTACCTATAATTAAATAAATAAATTGCTCCATTGCTAGACTACTGAGATCATCTTGTATAGCTGCAATGTATAACAGAAAGAGGTGATAATGTATACCTAATTAATAATCACTTCCACCCAACTTAACCAAGAAGCATTAAAGATATCGCAAATTCGTAGTGTGCATATTAAAAACCAATTTACTCTGATCCGCATTTACATATAGATACCAGGGGAAATAGTATCAGACTATGCTGGTCCTTTCGGCTTAGTCTAATCCTTACTTGTGTTATAAACTAGCTCAGCCAGCGGCTTCGCATATAACCGTTTTATTTGTAAACAGTTTGGAACAAAGGGACTAATTTTTAGTAAAACCACAGATAACATAATATTACACAGTAAAACTTACCACAATACATTACAGAAAACTGGACCAAATTGGTTGTTTCTAAGATTAGCGCGTACAAACGGACAAACAAACAAAAATTTTAACAATTATCTTTTTCGACGATAACTATACGCATTACGCATATAGTTCATGTATCAACTTTTCGGAATATTCTCGAAAAGATTGTAAAAACCCTATCAAAATCAGTAAACGGAGAAACAGACAGACAAAAATAGCGACTTTGCTGTACAATTTTTGATATATAAAGAAGTTCTCTAAAGTAAAAATAAAAATAATATTCTAAAAAATAGCAAAAACATGTCATGTCATGTCTTACTGGGCTTAGAAGAAGTAAACGGAGAAACAGACAGACGAAAATAGCGACTTTGCATTACCAAAATATATAAAAATAGAATTCATTTACTTGTTACATTTGAAGGCTAACTAATCACCAATTACTATGTAACGAGGTAAAAATACTATCACCAACATAAGTATGGTGATGATGGCCACTTGTTGAATAATTCATAGGAGCAAAGTCACGTTATACTACATATACTTACTCAAATAGGTAAGCTTATATTTGTATCTTTATTACAAGTACCGTAAGGTATAAAGTAAAAAGAAGCTAATTATTTTTTAAAGTAGTTGATGTCCGTGTTTATTGGGCTTATTATTTTTATTTAAATTATTATACATTCTAAAATTAAAATAAAACATCTTTTAAATTACCAGTTTTGTAATTCTAATCATTTTAATACTACTAAGTATTTATTCTGAATATTACAAAGACTACAATAAAATAAACAATAAATTTATTCTAAATAATTTCGAACTGGCATCTACATACGTATATATATATTTGAACCATAAAAATCATAAAAAAAATCATAAAAATTTTATTTAAACCATCACTGTATTCAAGTAAATATAACTTAAAAATACACATTAAAAAAGTGGAAACTTACCAAATGAAAACTGGAACGTAAACACTACTCTTCTATTTACAAAATTTTAATTGAACCAATACAATAATATCCCAAACATAACTGGCAATTATTTAAAAACAAAACTTTTAAAAATCGAATTCTATTCGAAATACAATCGTGTTTTCCCGCCAAAGTTGTCAAGCGATAACACGACCGCCCTTCGTGAGAGTTGCGACTGCACTGGGCGGATAGATTAGGCGGAAGCCCGTGGCTGCGAAAGTGTTGAATGATATCGTATTAAAACTTTGAGAAGCTTGTTATAAACATACTTAGCGTGCTCAGAAACGGATTATGTATTTTATAATAATAAAATTAAGAAATAATTACTTTTGATGGTCGCGGGTTCGATTCAACGCAGCTAACATTTGTAATCATGAGATGGTTGTTTGTATTTGTCCGAATATTTTTTCTGTATATTATATATGTATTTAAGAAATAATAATAATAATTTCTGTTATTTTACATGTATAGTAACCATAAATTATAAAGTCCCTGACTTTTGAGATAGAAAGCAATGTACTACAGTATTTTTAACAATTGTTTAGAACCCATAACACAAGCTCTGTTTATCTTGGGACTAGATGGCGCTGTGTAAAATTAAGTACCACCTTTTAATTTTACATGCAGTATCGATAGGATGTAATAGAATTGGCAGAGTTATAATAACTTTCAACCCCATTTTGAGGATGAAAAAAGAAACTGTTCTAAGATAAATTGCGCAAAATAATAATTTTAAACTGATATGTCTATTTTCGTTTTTTATTCGTCGTATAGTAATAAATATTTCTTTTATAACAATAGAGATATTGTTAAATTTTTAATAAAGACACTTTCAGTTAGATATCATTACATAGTATAAAATAAAGTCGCTGTCGCAGTCTGTCCTTATGTATGCTTTAATCTTTAAAACTACGCAACGGATTTTGAAGCGGTTTTTTTAATAGATAGAGTGATTCCAGAGGAAGGTTCATATATGTAATATACGTACACTCGTATGAAGCCGGGGCGAGTAGCTAGTTCATTATAGAAACAATGTGTTTCAATATAATTTAACGTTAATGTTTCTACAAATATTACTATACGATCAACCGTAGTGGGTGGTAGGATTTTGCTGCAAAGTGCCTATGGCGACCTATATTAACCTTTAGACCACAGTTGTTTGCTGATGACACATCACTTATTTTCAATGTGAAAAGAAATAATAAGGATTTTAGTAATATAAATAATACTCTTGAAGATATTCTTAACTGGTTTACATCAAATAATCTAGCGCTTAATTCAATGAAAACAAAATGTGTTAAATTCTCATTACCAAATGTAAAACAAGAATGACAATTTCTGTAAAGTTCAACTTAATCACTGTTATATTCACACTGATATCTGTTTTGCTATCATTAACTGATACTGAACATATGCTTCCATAGTATAATGTCGTATGGTATTATATTGTGGGGCAGGGCCCAAATATTACAAAAAAGGAGTTCGTTCAATATATAATTTACTGTCGCCTCTTAGAGAACCAGGTCATCAATATATATATGAAAATATAATGTACGTAAATTAAATTTATTTACAAAGACGTTAATAAAAATAAATTAAATATGCCTAGTAATCTAAACAAAAAATTAAGAACATCTTTCATGGGACATTGTATACGTTTTTATAATAAATTGCATAATGTTTTGAATTTAAATGAAGGGAAATTTAAGATACATGTAAAAAATACAGAACTTTTACAAAATAAACGACTACTTGAATCTACAATGTGTGGAAATTACAATTTTAACTTTTGTTATGGATATAACTTTCTCATTGACATAGATAATATAATAAAGACTTATCCTAAATTTAGTAATGACATATTGTAATTTAAATAATGTAAATTAAATATTGTAATGGGTGACATTGGTCCTGTAAATAATATAAATGACGTAGTGGAGTCCAGTCATGCTCGCTATAAAGTTCACTGCTGGCGGCGTGGTGAACATCGTCGATGGGTTGAGTGCAATGATGGCTGGCTCATCCGTCATACTCGTGTACGGGTGCTGCTTGTGGGGACTGGTCTGTTCAGGTTGCGAACACGGATTAGATTTTTTGATTTTTTTTTTTTATATAGCATATACTGGTGGTCACTCTATTCTCCCAAATTTGAATTTAAATGAGTATTATTGTAAATATGTACAACATTAAAAAAAAAATGCGAGCTGAGTTTCTTGTCAGTTCTTCTCATCTCGAAATCATTCCGAACTGACGGTAGATTTGACATATCATAAGAGTCTGTAATAGACCTACATGAATAAAGATATTTTGAATTGAATTGAATTTGAGTATAAAAAGGTAAAAGACAATTTCTGTAAAGTTCAACTTTCACTGTTTGATATCTGTTTAATTGAAATATGCCCTGTGGCGCCCAAAATGGAGCGAACTGCCCCAGGTCATCAGACTAAATTAGACGTTAATAATATGACTATAAAAATAAAAATCAAATGAACTATCACACTTCAGAATTGTTGTAATTGACATTTTTTTTCTGTTATTTCATTATTATTATTAGAATACAGGGTTCAAAAATAATGTGTTTGAAAAATCATACGGAAATTTAATTAAAAATCTTCATAAATTTTATTATTATAAAGACGCGAAATTTGACGCGAAAGATTTTTAAAACTATTTTGCAGTTCGTTATACCACCTATCCTGGCCGGGACTAAAATGCTAACTGTTAACCTATAATTTCTCTGCTTCATCCCAACCGTCAACCTACACAGTTTACAAAACAAGATATTTGACGGCTGAAGTAGAAGAGACTGAGTGGTCCACGCAGACGTTTTTTTACAATCTCTGGTAAAGAAATAGGTCAATACCTATTTCTACAAGAACGGTCCTGAACTGCTAGCCAGAACATCGTGGGGTCTTAGCTTAGCTTAGATGAAAAAAGTTATAAAGAACTTTAATTGACATTTTATTTCATTATAGAGAAAAATATTAATTTGATTTCATTAAAATACCAATGAAAAGACGCGACGGATTTTTTACAAACTATTTTAAAGCTGTTGGCTGCAGCTGGCCTTTACAGCTTCACCGAAGGATTGGGGGCACTCCAAACCAAAGAAAGTACTTATGAACGGCTGAAGGCCAACTCCGAATACGCCTTTAGTCTGAAGGGCATTGCTAGGGGTTCGAACCTCGGCGACCAGTTTAAATTGAACGAATGATGGATCGGAAGGGAATCTAATAAGTAAATAAATAATTTAACCTGAAATTATTACGTTTAGATCTTTCATTATGAGATCTTTAGGTATCTATTAAACACAACAGGACACAAGAGAAAGGGTTCCGTACATACGAAGCTGTGAAGTCACTGCCAATTTACAACAATGTCAAATACAGGAGATGTCAATCAACAAATACACTCATTATAAAACTGTCCAATTTACGTCAGCCATGTTTGGTGAGCCAAGTTTTGATTTGTGATTCATGAAATCATTAAGAACTTTGTTACAAACTTAAATCGACTTCTCTTGTACTGTTATACATATTTAAATATTCAGTTATAATAATATATTTGATACAATTTTCGACCTTCGTATCCTGATAATAAAATGGGAGTGTAAAACAAATATTTGGGAGCGGCTGCAAATAAAACTTTGTCGGAAACTGTAACACTGAGTGACATTGACACATTTTTCAGAAGCATGTCAAATAATTTGAATTATGTTTTCTAATAGGCATATATTATATAAAGGTAGTCGATTTCATTTTATCACTTGAAGAATACACAAAATATTTTTGAATAAAATACTTCTATATATAGTATTTATGACCTACTTTCCGGTATTTTTCTTGTGGATGATAATGGAATGGCACACTCGTCTACGCTAATGATTTACGCTGGCGGGGCATCAGTGGAGAATGATAAGAGAATCGTGATGTCAGGTCAGTTAGCACATCATGGTAAATCCTCCTTGAATTTATCATATGGTACCTGACCTGGTACATGCTAGCTATTGGGTTATTATTCCACATTACTAAGAATACGCTTGTAAATAATTGAAAACACCGATAACAAATGAAAGCAATCGCATTCATTTAAGTTTATTGTTCTTTTTATTCATCTACTTTTGATGGTTGTCGATGTCACTTTAGTGTAAAAGAATAAATAGATTTTTTTTAACAATATGAGTGACGGACTGTAGTTCCACCTCTTGTAAAGTTGTCTCTAAAATATGAAAGTAAAATAGGTACTCAACCAAATGTATCATTTATCATAACGTCCTAATCAACTGAGGTTAGTTACCTCTAACTACCCTATCTAAGATTACATATAATTTACTAAACATAATATGTTTGATGACTGTAATCTCATTAATAAATCAATGAATGTAGAAGAAATCGTGTTTATATATTACTTAATAGCTTCTGCATGTGACTAAATCCACGTGACTGGGTGACGTGTATAGGTACTGACCGACATAAAAAGTAACTTGTACCCTTCTCAACACCAAATACTACGGTTTTTTTTTAATATTTGTCTAAACAAGCTCTAAATATACTGCCATTCTGACAGTAAGTGGTAACCGTCGTTTATATACATGAACAGTACTACGTAGATACGTAATTCTACGTGGTGATATGACGCCCGTGATAACACTCATACGGGGGGGGGCAGGGGATTGTTAGTAATGTGGACTAATGATCCCATTGCTAACAAAGTACCATGTCAGGTCGACCTCCACGCGGTTCCCCCTGGAAACCAACGTGATAAATTCCCGGTGAATTTGTCACGTTGTGCTAACTGATCTGACTTCATGTTCATCTTATCATCCTCCACTGGTGCTCCGCCAGCGTAAACCGTTAGCGCAGGCGGGAGCACCATTCCATTATCATCCACTAAAAAATAACACTCATACGTTGCCATTTCGGAGGACAAAAATGTTTATCCGCTCAACCGAAACCAAGATGCATTAAGAAATAAATTTAATATACATGTATATGTACATGTCTATATATATACATATACATGTATGTACTTTCTACATAACATACACATTTTGATTAATAT